TTGACTATAGCATATTTGAAAGGATATAAGGCTGCACAACCACCATCTGGCTATTTGAATTTTTCAGCAAGGATATTTTGGGCCATGAATTATTTTACTGTTGAGATTCTCCTGGTTCATGAATAAATATCATCAAGGACTTTTGTCTGCAAGGAAGAGTGACCTCTATCTATTCTGTGAACTCAGTGAGAGGGTTTGACCTTCCTAAATCCTTGACACAAAATACAGTATGGATGCAAATGAGTTCTGGATTTCCAAAATAAGTTCCCTCCCTGACACCCTCTATTACATTTTAAAAATCCAGCCAAAGAGACACAATTCAGAGCACTCCACAGAGTGAATTGAATTCCATTCTCTTTCCAGCTGCTCACAAATGCAGAGGCTAAACAGAATCTTTCAGAAAGCACAGGTCAGAGAGAAAGAAAAAGAAACTATAATGTAATTGAGGAGTGAGGCATAGAGAGGTGGCCAAAAATATGAAGCAAGATCGTATTACCAACCACAAAAAATATGTGTGCTTTCTTGTGCATGAAAGAATACAGATTCTATGAAATGGATTTCAAACAGGAAAAAATGAAAATCCAGAATAAAGCCTGTGCTCAGCAGTGAGGCGGACGCACAGTAGGCGAGCGCGGCCAACCAGCGCGCGGATTTGCGCAAACTCCGGGGATGAGCGGGGGAAGTTCAAACCTGTGCCCCGCGCAGAAGGGGAGGCGCCGGGAGTGTGATTCCAGCGCGGGCGGGCGTCCCGCGGGCGGCTCGGCTCGGGCGGCGGGCCGGCCAGCACGGCGCTTGTTAAGGTAGCTCGTGCGGAATCACTTCGTTTTTGAACGAAAATAATCAGATGGCATGACATCAAACAGAATTCTCAAAGAGGTGCAATGAGGACACGTTAGAAATCGGGAAAAAAGACAGGAAGGGTCATTTTGAGGCAAAAAGGGAACAGAGGTCAAAGAGATTGATGCATGTAAAGAAGACAATGCATTTCGATGCCTAATGACTCTTCCCTACGTCGGCCTTTTTGAAATTTGAAATTTAGAAATAAATCCTTGAAAATGTCGTGATTTAAGCCACCACTAAGATGTCCCTACTCTGACGTGCTGCCCAACACACGGCTTCCCCACCGCTGAGCGGTGTTCGCAGTTCAGCAGGACACACGAGCATGGTTCTTCACTTGTTTTTAACACCCCTACTGTGTGACAGCAAGCCACACGTGTTCCGCGTGTACGCCCTGCTGAGTCCTGATGGACGAGCTCGCCAGGCAAAGCGCCACCACAATCAAGATAGCAGACACTTGCATTTAAAGGTGAGGGCGTCTTTCTCCAACGTTCTTTTCTTCCCAAAGTTCCCAAGAGTCTCAACCCATTACAGCATCAGCTCCAAGTCCAGCTCTCACCATCGAAACCGAAATCTAATCATCTGGTCAACCCTGAGTGCAAAATTGTATGTAAATCTCATCAGCTCAAAGTCCACATCTAAATGGGGTCCAGGTGCGCGGGAGGCTCCTGTGTCTGGAGCACGCTTCCTGTCCAGCTGTGGGCGTGGAACCGACCAGGTAAGTTCCCTGCTCCCCACGCGCCCAAAATACAACTGTGGAACAGCCAGAGGGTCACAGCTACAGAGGTTCCCGCTCTAAAGTGGGTACAGTGGGAGGTGAATGGGGCCATCCTCTTCTTCTTCCTCCTCCCTTGGAAAAACATTACTACCTTTGGAAGATTAAAAAAAAATCATTCTTGTGCAA